CAAAACAAACTGAGGGTTGATGGGGGGAGGGGGGTTGGGAGGGGGGGTGGGGTTATGGATATTGGGGAGGGTATGTGCTATGGTGAGTGCTGTGAAGTGTGTAAACCTGGCGATTCACAGACCTGTACCCCTGGGGATAAAAATATATGTTTATTAAAAAAAAAAAAAAATTAAAATAAATAAATAAATAAAACTTCCTAATACCAGCTACTAATGCTTTAAGTGGACAAAGTAAAAGATTTTTAACATCTTGAAAAAAAAAATTAATAAAAACCAAAACTTTAAGTTTTGGTAAAAACTTAAGTTTTTTGAGTAAAAAAGTATTCAGCTTAGTCAAATTTGAATGTTTTTAACGGAATTACAAACCCTTAAAAGTAACAATTACTATGGGAACATGGACATATTCTAAAGTTAGGTGTTGGGTAAAGCCAAAAATCTTTCACAAGAGCAGAAAATTTAACACATGATATACATAAAGACTGTACATACATTTGCATGCTCTCTGGCTTTAAAAAAATTATCTATAGCAGTCCTATACACCCACATTCAATGCTCTTAGGATTGTGCTGGCATAGGCTCATCTGTGTTATCTATATAGTAACCGATGCCAATATTTAATGTACAATGGGAATCTGTTTCACTCTCAGAGGCTGGTATAATAATTATTCTCCTATGGTTGCTAAGAGATTGTGTAGCCTTTTCTTTTTCTAAGACTACTAGAGCAATTTAATGTGTAGAGGCAATAGGATGCTGGGTAAAACAATAAAATAATTCCAGCTGTAGCTCTCTATCAGAACATAAGGCTAGATGACAGCTGCGGAGAAAATAGAAACAGACTTTGCTCCTCTTCTCCCTTTATCCCTTCTTACTGTGTAATTCTGAGTACAGACAATTTAGCATTGTTCTGCAAACCTTTTAAAATATGATTCCCAATGAATAATCACATGTGGAAAAAGTGTTATTGGTCTACTTGCTGCTCAAGAACTCTTATTTTTGTGTATCACAAAACACAGGTTTGAAAATGTGTGTCTGGGTTATAACCAACAAGAGAAGATTTTAGTAATTATATTATTAGTTAATTTTAGCATGATGGAAGAATTTTAAAATGTTCTTTGACGAAGGAGTCTTACATTTTAGCATTGCATATGTTAAAAATGTTACAAAAACTGTTTTTCTTTTGGCATTTAAAATCATATACTCAAATTATGCAAACTTGCGAAGCACAGAAAAAATTACAATTCCACAAGCCCAGCAAAATCATCATTAATATTTTGGTGTAGCACCCAGTAGCAATTCATTTTAGATTTGACCACAATTATCTCCTATTCTGCTCATTAGATTTCTTTAGTTCCTTTGATTAGTTTAAGAGTAAGAATACACTAACCTGTGAGTTTTTAATCTTGCATTTGTCTGTGAGCTTTGTCTAAAAAACATTAATAGCACATAAAGAATTTTAAGCAATCTGAACACAGTAATCAGTGATGAAACAATATGGAAGGAATGAGAAATGTACCAAGACATAATGTCCCACAAAAACAGAAAAAAGAAAACAAGTCTTCCACCTTAGGTTAATTAACAAACAAACCAAACTACTTTTCTAATAAAGTCAGTTTGACTTAAATGTGGTGTTAGATTTTCAGGAATTGTTTATTGTCTGTTAATTTGTTTTTTAGTTATTTTGTTCCTGGTAACAATATAAATTTATACAATCCTGTAACTGGTAAATCTATTTTT